TAACAGGCGTGCCACCACGCCGGCGAGGTGTTGTTTTTAAAATAATTACAATTTATATTTGTTTAGCTTCTATTTACCTGTTTTATAGGTGTCCATCTATTGTCAACAGCCAGCTAGGCCTTCTTCAGGGTTATTGTTGAGATCCAGAAAGGGATTTATACAGGCTCTGCGAACTCTCAATGCAAAATTTTGTGCAGGTTTTTTATTTATTTTTTTTTGGCTGGGGGATAGAATTCATGTGTAAATTTCAAAAGAGATCCTCTTCTAAGGTGCACTCTACCGCAAGAGATCTGTGGTTTTTAATATACATCTAAGTGTGGAGCCGGGTGTGGTGGCGCACGCCTGTAATCCCAGTACTCGGGAGGCTGAGGCAGGAAGATCACTGTGAGTTCTGGAGACCGTCCTTGGCTATATAGTGAGTTCCAGGTCAGTCTCAACTACATAGTGAGACCCTGTCTCAAAAAACAAACGGCTGGGGATTTAGCTCAGTGGTTCTGTTGCCTGCCTCTCAAGCGCAACGACCCGAGTTCGATCCCCCAAAACAAAACAAACAAACGAACAAATATATATATACACACATACATCTAAGCATAATTGTCAGTGATCTTTAGAACCACTAGAGGGAGGCCTTTGTATCAAAGCCTAGATATTTATCAAATGGATGTGAAAGACTGAACAAAACAGTACCTAAGTATGTACCTTTTAAAATATTTGATCTTGGGGCGCGGGGTGTAGCTCAGTGCTACCGCCGCTTGCTTTGCAAGCACAAGGTTCTGAGTTCAATCCCAGTACCAAAAAAAAGAAAATATTTGATCTAGAAGTATAGCCAAGATACTAATTAGGATCAAAACAGCCAAATAAAATATAAAATATCATCTCTAAATTATTCAGTGGTAAAGTCCTTGCCCATGTTCCTTTTCTCTTTGTTTGCAAGAAGCAAAGTGTGAAAATAGCATCTAGTACCAAAAAGAAGTATAGATTTAGGCTCATAAGCCAAAAGCAAATTATTTTGTGCCTTAAGAACCTCTCTTCTCTTGCTCCTGTTGTCAAAAAGTACTTAGGTCAAGCCAGGTGTGGTGGTCCATGTCTGTAATCCCAGCACTCTGGAAGCTGAGGCAGGAGGATTGCTGTGAGTTGGAGACCAGCCTGGGCTACATAGTGAGTTCCAGGTCAGTCTCAACTACATAGTGAGACCCTGTCTCAAAAAAAACCCCAAAAGTACTTAGATCCATGGTTCTGTACACTGGCTTCCTTTGACAATCAGTTTGTGAATTAAAGACAAACACAAGGCAGGAGCAAACACTAGGTTCAATCCCCAGCACCACCATTTAAAAACAAAAGTTATTAGCCTGCCCAGCCCCTGCCCCTTTCAGACCAGTTAACGGAGTGAGAAGAGTGACGTAGGGCTAGGATTGCAATTGGTTTGCAGTGTGCTGCTGAGATTGAAAGGCTTTTAGGATTGATCCTTTCCTCTGTGGGCTCCTTCCTGTATTATGTATTATAAATTTCTTGCCCAGACTAAGTATGGAATTGAAGTGCATGTTTCTTCAGATTGTAAAAAAGAATTTAACCCAGAGAAGAATTGAGGAATTGCTGGGTATAGCAATAGTGTAGCTCGGCGGGTAGGGATGTAGCTCAGTGACACAGTGCCTGCCTGGCCAGCTTGAGGTCCTGAATTCAATCCCTGGTACTAAAAAAAAAAAAGTATACTTCAGTGGTGGAGCACGCACATGCTGTAATCCTGGCACCCTAGGGGGATGAGGTGGGAAGATTGAAGGTTCAAGCCCATCCTGGGCAGGTTAGCAAGACTTTCTCAATAAGGGCTGGGTGTGTGGTTCAGTGCAAACACCCTGAGTTCAATCCCCAGTATTGAAAGAAAATGAATTGGAAGAAAAATTATCCATTATATTGGGTAGTATAAAATATAACTAAGATTAAATTCTTGTTTTGTTTTGTTTTTGTTTTTGGTACTGGGGATTGAACTCGGGTCCTTGTACTTGTGAGGCAGGCGGTGGAACCACTGAGCTAAATCCCCGGCCCTTTTTATTGATTATTAATTTCAATTTGTTGATATCCTGGGAATAATTCTCTGATTTATGTATCAGACTGACATAATGAGAAATGAATTTGAAAGACTGGCTGCTCGACAACCAATTGAATTGCTCAGTATGAAACGGTAAGAATATTAAAATTTCATTATAATAAATCAATAATAACCTGAGATTTATGAAAAGTGTATTTGCTAACTGTGTCAGTGATGTGAAGAGAGAATAGAGTGGGGTCTAAATGCATGTGGGTTTTTTTTGCATTTTCTTCTCTAAAAGAGGTTGTAGGTGTTTGACACAAATGGTAACTCAAGTTTTTTATGTCTACTTTTCCTTTAATGTTAAATATTTTTCAGAAACTTTTTTTTAAAGACATGGTGACAGGTACAGGAACCACTTTAACAGAGTTGTGTAGCTGGGGAAAGAACTTGGACTTACCAGCTTTGGTGGCGCATGACCTGTAATACCAGACTCGAGAGGCTGAGTCAGAAGGAGGTCCATGAGTTTGAGGCCAGGATGAACTACACAGCAAGACCCTGTATCACAAAAGAAAAGAAATTGGACTCACCTTCCAGCATCACTTAACAGCTAATATGATGATCTCTTATGTGAATATAATATAGTTTAATTCACATTTAATTTTTTTGTTACTGTATATAGTGGTACTGAATTTTGTTTGTAATGTTTCTTAGGATAATAGATTTCTTTTGGTTTTTGAGACAGGTTCTCACTGTGTAGCTCAGGCTGCCTTGAACTCAGTCTGTAGCCCAGGCTGGCCTCAAACTTTCAGTGATCCTCCTGCCTCAGTTTCCTGAGGGCTGGGATTACAGGTGTGTACCACCATGCTTGGCTCTGATAGTGTTTTGTTTTGTAAGATCTCCATCTGATCTTCTGTAGGTTTTTTTTGTTGTTGTTTTTAACAGCGTGTAGAGACCCATGGGTTATTCTGTTGGTAGGAAGGATGATGGTGTGGCAGGATGTGCAATTTAGTTTTATGTTGTTGTATAATTTCAGATATGAGCTTCCAGCCCCTTCCTCAGGTCAGAAAAATGACATCACTGCATGGCAAGAATGTGTCAACAATTCTATGGCCCAGTTAGAGCACCAAGCAGTTCGAATTGAGAATCTGGAGCTAATGTCACAACATGGATGTAATGCCTGGAAAGTATATAATGAGTAAGAAACGTCCTTCCCTTTTTCCTTCCTCTCTCCCTTCCATCCCACCCAAAGGTTTATTTTTTATAGTTGTAGGAGGCTTAGTATTAGAAATGGGGTAAAAATAATATCTCTAGATTTGACTCCAGATCTTATCTGAGAACTGTACTCAGATGAAAAGCCACTGCTTAGAGACTCACTTCAAAGTCCAAGATTGCTAGGGCCGGGGGTTTGGCTCAGTGTTTCTGTTGCCTGCCTTGAAAGCGCAAGGGCCCAGGTTTGATCGCTGGTACCAAAAAAAAAAAAAAAAAACTTCAAGATTGCTAAGGGGACCTGACCTGACTACCACATTGACTCTGTAATAAAATTGTAAGAAAATGAGTTTTGAGGGCTGCTTTACAGATCACTGCCTCGTAGAGTGTAATTCTTAATATGCGAATTGCTTATACAGTTGATTCTCATTATTACATGCTATGTTCTTTTTGATTTTTTAATACAGGGTCTTGCTAAATTGCCCACACCAGCCTTGGACTTGTAGTCTTCCTGCCTCAGCCTCCCAGAGTGCTAGGATTACAGACATCGTCCACCATGATGCGTGGCATATGTTAATCGTATTTTTAAAGCTTCCATTCTTCTAGGGAAAATATGTATACACACACATTTCGCATAGATTATAATCTTAAATTGTAAAAACTTAATCTTGGTAGGTTTTATTTTCTTTATAAGGGAAAACAAAGCTTGGGAGTATAAAGTGCTGTGTTTAAGGCAGCTTCTGTAATAGTGCCAGTTTGGGAAGTTGAGCTCCATCCTCTGCTCGTCTCTGAATGAGAGCTGAAACTTTTCAAGTAAAAAGCCATTGAACCAATGATTATATGGAAACCTTTGTCAGACTGTTTTAGGAAACATAGTGGTATAAAATAGGGCACAAAATGGTAGGTATCTTTTTTTCAAATCTTCAAAATTATATTTTAAATCCCTGTCACTATATAATCCAGTGGGCAAAATCTGAAATTTGGGAAACTACAGGATAAATAGTTTTTTTGGTAATGTAAAAAGGAAGAAAGGAATAGAATCAGGGTGATAGAAAAGTAAGAAACAGATAAGTCAAGAAAAGCGTACTTCACAAACTGGACTGAAGGGAGAGGTTTGGGTGTTTGGAAGAGAGCAAGGAGAACATCCGAGGATGGAGAACCATTAGATCGAGGGGCGTGTTGCTTTCCTGTTCGCTCTGTCTTCCCAACTGGGATTCTGCCTGCAGTCCTCTCCTGTGAGCAACTGTGCGGCTGCTGTGCTCCTCGCTCCTTTTGCTCAGATCATACTCTGCTGCACAACACCTTCCACCATGTGTTCTCCAGACCCAGTGGCTGCTACGCTGGAGGTGGTGCACTATGTTTTTACAAGAATAAGTTTAAGCAGGAGGATGGAAAGGAAGAGAAGGCGATAAGCTAACCCTTCAGGAAAAGTCAATTCAGAGGAAAGGTTATTTTCAGTGGTGAAAGGCTGGGAATAGAGTGCTCAAAGTGATGGTCTCAACTTGGAGTGATTGTGGAAGCCATAGAAAGGCAAAGCTAGAAAGGCATACTCATATCAGATATTAGCCATCTCCTTAATCAAAAGAAGGCAAGTGGAGCTGGGAGCCAGTTGTGGTGGCACACCTCTAATTCCAGCACTGGGGAGGCTGAGGCAAGAGGGTTGCTGTGAGTTCAAGGCCAGCCTGAATTACAAAGCAAGACCCTGTCTCAAAAAACAAAAGAAATCATAGAGTATCTAACATAATCAGCAGAAAGAGCTCAATATTTACTATTTTTAGCAGAAAAACTTGACTTCACTGGGTAGTTAATATTTAGTCGGTATTATTAGATTTTAATGTACATTAGCCTGATTTTCCTCTTTTTCCTTCAGAAATCTAGTTCATATGATTGAACATGCACAGAAAGAGCTTCAGAAGTTAAGGTAATTGTCTTTCCTGTTCTAGAATGCAGTTTAGGTGAACCCTGAGTGCGTGTGTGGCGGGTAAACGGCTGCAGTCGTGAAAGTCACTAAATGATCCCCTTTTTGTCCAGCACCTGGCACTGAATTTGCCCGGTCTGAATAAAGGAAAAATAGATTGAGGTCTGAAAACATCTCTACCAGACATTTACAACTTGCAAGTCTGCAGGCAGAAAAGTCACTTTTTTTTTTTTTTTTGGCACTGGTGATTGAACTTGGGACCTGTCACTTGTGAGGCAGATGGTAGGTGGTGGCACCACTGAGCTAAATCCCTTTCCCAGAAAAGTCACTTTTAAGGGAGGGGAGGGGGGAGCATTGCAGAATAACACCAAAACTCCATTGTCTGCATACACATGCATACAGGAACAGATCTGGGAGGGTGCCACCTCTCTGCTTCATTTTGTTCTGCTGGCGATACATTACCAGTGACCAGGAGAGTGTTAAGAGATTTATCTTGGAGTACAGTGCTGGAGGTCCCAGATCGAAGGGCTATGTGTGGCGATCACCTTGCTGGCAGAGTTCCAGCATGGTGCAGGGCATCACATCTGCACGTGTGTGTTCTGGGCTTGCTTTGTCACTAGAAAACCACCAGTGAGTGACCTCTAGCCCTAATCACCGGAAACTCAGCGTTTATCAGGAATGAGAACTGTGTGACAAGAGGGAGTTGTGATTTGTGATCTGTGAGCATGTGTGGGAATGGGTTTTTTTTTTAACGTGTTAGGTTGTGGGACTGGGGATTGAACCCAGGGCCTCATGCATGTTTAGGCAAGCATTCTGCTACTGAACTATAGCTCTTAGCACCCACCTCCCCACCCCCATAAAAAATTGGATCTGGTTTTGTTTTTGTTTGTTTGTTTTTGTACCAGGGATCAAACTCAGGACCTTGCACTTGGGAGGCAGATGGTGGCACCACTGAGCTAAATCCCTGGCTGTTTTGTTTTGTTTTGTTTTGAGCCAGGGTCTCACTGTAGTTCAGGGTGGCCTTGACCTTGCATTAATCCCTCCAAGTGCTGGTATCACAGTCATGTGCCACCACACCTGGCTAAAGTTTATTTTAAGACAGGATTTCACTAAGTTGCCCAGACTGTCTTCAAATTTTCCATCCTCCTGCTTCAGCCTCTTTTTTTTTTTTTTTAGTTCAGCCTCTTGATTACCTAGAATTACAGGTGTGCAGCACTGTACCCACATATTTTCTGAAATCTGTGATTGAAAAAATTAATCAGAAAAAAATTAATTCCTAGAATTAGTCTATAATTGTATACATATCTGTTCTAAGGAGATTGAATACTAGCTAGTATTATTTTTTGTTGATTTTAGTCTTATGTTAAATGTAGTTAGGTTGTATAAATTTCTTTTTATAGGAAACATATTCAAGATTTAAACTGGCAGCGCAAGAACATGCAACTCACAGCTGGATCTAAATTGAGAGAAATGGAGTCAAAGTGAGTATAATTCCATCATCATATTTTAAACTGCTTACCCCATTCGAAGATCAGAATTTATTAAGATTCAAACAGTATTCAGATGGGATGCCACAGGTTTTCTTGTGTTATTAAGAAAGAAATCCAGGGCCCGTACACTGAACTACATTCCCAGTCCCCTGCCCACCCCTTTTTTTTGAGATAGGGTCTCACTCAGTGATGGATGGGTTCAAACTTGTGAACTGCTCTGAGTTCAAGGTCAGTTTGACTACGGAGTAAATTCAAGGCCAGCCTGAAGTACGTAGCAAAACTCTGTCTCAAAAAAAGAAAGAAAAGAAAGAAAGAAAAAATTGAGCCACTGATAAGTGATCTTAGCCTCAGGGCACCCTCTTTTCAGTCCAGCTCTCCTTGTTTCCTTTTCTTTTCTCAGTTTTTTTATGGTGGTACTGGGGATTAAACCCAGGGCCTTGCGTATGCATGCTAGGCACATACACTGCCATTGAGCTACGTTGCCAGACCTTTTTATTTCTAATTTTGAGACAGGTTCTCACTAAGTTGCCCAAGAATGGCCAGGGACATCTGACCTTCCTATCACAGCCGCCTAGTTAGCTGGGATTAGAGGCATATACCACTGTACCCAACTCCAACCCTATTTTTACAAAGAAAGAAATTCATCCTTTCTAAAAATCTTGTAGGAAGCGAAATTCCGTGTTTTGGTTGATAATTTATGCCTTAATTTTTTCCCCTTTGTTGACACACTTTATCCTTTAAATCATACACATATATAGATGTATAGATATATGGTCTATGCAGATGCCTAGATATGTAATAGTGAAATTTTGTGTCATTCTCTTCTCTTTTGTTATTTTTCCCTCCCTTTCCTCCTTTCATCGCCCATGTCATTCTCTTTGTTCTGGCCTCCTCTCCACCTCCTTTTCCCTGTGTTACCAATCTCTTACGCATCATTTCATATTTTTCTTCGCACTGCTAAGTGTTACTTTTTAGTCTGTTTTGAGATTTTTCTCCATCTTTCTATAACTATTACCTTTCTCTGAATGTTCTTTCATTAGTCTTTCCTTTCTCTCTTGTCTTATAGATTCTCTCTTCTGATGTGTCTACTTATTTTTAAGTAAGCTTCTTATTTTGAGACAACTTTAGATTCACATGCAGTTGTAAGAAATAATGCAGAGAGATCCTGTGCCCTTCACCTACTTTCCCACAGCTGTGCCTCATGGGTTTGTTTGTTTGTTTGCTTTTTGGTATTGAGGATTGAACTAGGGGTCCTTGCACTTGCAAGGCAGGTGGTGAAACCACTGAGCTAAATTTCTGGCCCTGTACCTAAGTTTTTAAAGTGGAAAATTAAAAGTGTTACAGCATTAGCCGGGCTTGGTGATGCACACCAGTAATCCCAGCACTCAGGAGGCTGAGGCAGGAGGATTGCTGTGAGTTCAAGACCAGCCTGGGCTACATAGTAAGTTCCAGGGCAGTCTGAACTACATGGTGAGACCCTGTCTCAAAAAACCAAAAATCAAAAACAAAAATGTTACAGCATTAAGTAAAACCATATATACATTTAAAATAAAATCTTTTAAGAGATATTTTACATTGAATAATTTTTTGCTTTTTTCTTATCTAGTTGGGTGTCACTGGTCAGTAAGAATTATGAGATTGAACGGACTATTGTACAACTAGAAAATGAAATCTATCAAATTAAACAGCAACAGGGAGAGGCAAACAAGGAAAACATCCGGCAAGACTTCTGAGAAGACTAACTTGCTGAGTAAAAAGGAAGAAATGTCAGGCCCTCTCAGAAACCATTAGTGGGTAAATGTTTGGAAACCATAATGTATGGATTCTTGTAATAATTGTATTGTGTATCTTTGTGAAATAAAGGTTTTTATCGTGGCATTTTTATAGCTAAAAAACTGTCAAGCTTTCAAAATAAGTATGGCTTTGGAATAATACTGTGTTAGAGAATTAGTACATTACATATAGCACTAATTTTGAGCTTCAGGACCATATTTTGTAGCTGAGTGGATATGTTGGCTGCGACCAGCAAGGCCACAGGGTTGGGGCTCTGTGAAAGCAGCTGTAGTAAATGACAAATTACTAAGGCAGATAGTTCTGATTCTTTTTTTTTTTTGCTACTGGGGATTGAACTCCGGTCCTTGCGCTTGCAAGGCAGGCCACCGAACCGCTGAGCTAAATCCCCGGCCCGATAGTTCTGATTCTTTAGATTGAACGTACTTGGAAATTTTGTCCTGTTGATGACACCATGCCTGTCTTGTTCGTAAATATCTATAATACATTGTGTTTGAAAGTGGACCCGTCAAGGCCCAGAGAAGACAGGTGTATGTAACACTGAGTGGAAGGACTTTCCCTTTCTTCTGCTCTTTCCCTTTCTTCCTTTCTCCTTTATTCTCCAGTCACCTAGGATTGCCACCCCATTATTGCCGCACTTTAATACCCTTCCTCCTTTCTGATGACTCAGCCCTAAAATTATATGGTGTAGAGCAAAGTAGATACCCACATACAAGCTGCCCAGAAGTGGGGAGGCTTGCCCATAAAGGATCAAGAATCAGACTATCCTCAGGTTTCTCCATAGCCGCTCTGGAAGCTAGAATGAAAATAATGGAGAGGTGTATCAAAATTCTTAAAATTTATTTCCAAGCTAGGACTACATAGCCAAGTCATAGAATAAAATTATGTTTAGCCATGTGGGATCTCAAAGTCATTACCTTCCAGAGTATTGATTTTTTGTCTTGCTTTGGTACTGGGAATCAAACTCAAGCCCTTGGGCTTGCGAGGCAGGTGGTGGAACCACTGAGCCAAATCCCTGGCCCAAGAGTATTGTTTTTTAAAGGAAGTGTGCAGGATGGATTCATGGCATAGTAAAACTTCTTCCACAGCGATTGGTGAAAGGATCTCAGGATTGTATGTACTGTGTACTCCATGGAGGTCTGACGGTCCACACTGCAGCAGTGTGACTTGTGAGAGCTGCCCTCAAAGATGACCGGTACTGCCACAGCCTCTTCACACCGAGGAACTGCCCGGAGAGCCTGGCCCACATTCCGACCTATGCTTGGTTGCTCATCATGGCCTGAGGAGGCCCCATAACTTGGAGTGTGTTATAGCCTATTCTTGGAATGCTTTTAGTAGAAAACTCAAGAGTTGGTTTCTGACCTTAATTCCCAACAAGTTCGCAATACCTGGTTGACTTTCTAGCCTTGCCAGAAACCTTAATGCTGAAGCCCACAGTTCCCAGAATGCAGTCGCAGCTTTATTCCCTAACTTCCCCAGAATAGACTGCAGCTCAGGGAAGCTGAGGCCAGTCCATGATCTGTTGTTCAGCTTGTTTTTTGATTCAAGGATCTTCATCCAACCATAGAAATAGGTCTTTTTCTTACATTGCTAAGCTGGTCTTGTTTCACAGCTTTTTTATAACTACCTTTCACGTTCATTTTAATGCAGATAGTTATGGTAGGCTGAATGACAGCTCCTAAAGATGATGAGATCCAGTACCTGGAACCTGTGAGTGTTAACTTTTTCCATGGAAAAAAGGAGTTTGTAGATGTGATTAAATAAATGTTCCTTGGGTGGGGGATTATCCCAGATTATCTGGGGAGGCCCAGGAGGACTGCCACCATCTTTATAAAAGGGAGGCGGGACAATGCTGCTGCTGCCTTTGTAAACGAAGAAAGCTACGAACCAAGAAATGCAGTGGCTTCCAGAAACTGGGAAAAACAAGGAAACAAATCTTCCAGAGTGTTCTTCCCCAGAAGGAACTCGGCTTAACTAGGCTTGTGACTTCCAGAGCTATAAAGCAGTGAATTTGTTTTGCATTAAGCCTCTTCATTTGTGATATTTTGCTGTAGAACCAATAGAAAGCATGCAATAACTGGTAAATAATAATAAATGGTTGTTTAAAATGGTAAAAAAATATTAGGAGCAATTCAGAAATGCAGGCCAAAAAAAAAAAAATTCATAAACCTGCCACTCAAAAGATAGCCACTGTTTATCAGAAGGTACTTTTTTGTTTGTGTTTTGGGGATTGAACCCAAGGCCTTCACATTGCTACAGCTTCATCCCTTTTTTGTTGTTGTAGTTTTTTATGTTAAGGCAGAGTCTTGCTAAGCTGTGCAGTTATCCAGGCTAAGCTCAAAATTTTGATCCTCTTGCCTTAGACTACCAGAGTGCTGAGCTAACACACATGTGCCACCATACCCAGCTCAGAAAATACTTTTTATTTGATGCCAGAATAACATATAATTGCATAGAGAAACCCCTATTTTATTTAATTCTAGTACAGATTTGTTTGTTATCACGAAATCAAATAAAATGGGAGCTAGGGATGTAGCTCAGTGGTAGAGCACTTGCCTAGCATGTTCAAGGCCCTGAGTTCCATAACCAGCACTGGGAAAACAACAACAATGTAAAATGAGCTAAGGGAACATTGTGTAAGCTTAGCTCTGAGTGGAAGCTTACACATCTGTTTCACCTTGCTTTCTACTCTAAGGACCAGCCCTTAACTACATTAGATCCTCTTTGCTTCCTCTATTCTTAGGAAATACTTCTGCATATTCAAATTCTTATTTGTAGTGACAGAAAGCTAACTAAAACTACCTTAGGCAACAAAAGGAGATTTATTGGTTCATGTAACTGGTGAGAGCAGAGGTGAAACTAGTTGCAGGGTCAATTCAGGGATTTCATGTTCTCTTGTTTTCCATTTCTCCTTTTCTAGATTTATTGTTCCCTCCCACCTATAGGCACTGAAGAGTCAAAGTCACAGGCAGTTCCAGACTTAAATCATCTCAGCAATCTCAGAGGTAGGCAAGTATATCGGTATGTATAATTAGAGAAAGATTCTAATTGACCTAGTCTGGATTCCATGTTCCACCCTTGGATTCAGAGGTACAACCAGGGATTCTCAGGGTATTGTGATTGGCCAAGCCTGTCAGGTATCTTCCTGTGGTCTTAGGGAGAGTGCTCTGTCTTAGTTCCCTTTCTCATTGCTGAGACAAACTACCCAACACCCAAAGTTAAAGGAAGAAAGGTTTATTTACCTCACAGCTTGTAGAGGCTTCAGTCCAAAATTGGCTGGCTCCAAGGCAGGGTGGCATGGCAGAGGGGCAACAGTTCATGGCAGCAGAAGACAGCAAAAGCAACAAGGGAAGCTTAACAGCATCTTTCAGCCCCTTTTATCCAGACTTCTGGGATTAGGGTGGTGCTAAACCTATCTGTACTGGTTTAGTAATCACACACCCTTAACCCCAGTATCTCACAGCTAGATCCAGCCACCTCTGAAAGACACCTATGGCCACATGAGGCTTTGGGGTGACATCTAGCCCCAAACCATAACAAGCACTGTAGATGGCAGTTGATTGCATTTGGGTACCGTTTCTCCAAAATAAGATGGGAACAGTGCTTCTACTGGACAGATGAAGATAGTATGTCTGTTACACCCTGGACCTTGCTGTGTTAAGAGATAACTCCTACTGGGGGTGTAGCTCATTGATAGAGTACTTGCCAAAGTTTGATCCCCAACATTGAGATAGAAAACTTAGCACTTAGCTGGCCCATGTGACAAGTAGTTCACCCATTTGGTCCTTGTGGGGTTTTTTCGTTTTGTTTTGTTTTTTTAACAGAAAAATATAATAGACATTGATTGTGGTATAATTTAGTAGTGGAGAACTGGGGTGTTTTATATAAAAGCCAGTAGCTCTGAACTTTGCTGTCATGATTTGTTGATAGACATGGGTTAAGTAATTCATTATTAACAGAAAATTAAGGTCAGGGCTGGGGATTTAGCTCAGTGGTGCCACCACCTGCTTCACAAGCACAAGGTCCCAAGTTCAATACCTGGTACCCCCCCCAAAAAAAAAACGAAACAAGAAAGTTAAGGTCTGTGGTTTGAGGTATATTTGTTTTGGGTTTTCTGATTGTGAGTGTGTGTGTGTGTGTGTGTGTGTGTGTGTGTGGTATTGTGGCTGGAACGCAGGATCACCTTTATTGAGAGAAGGTCTTGGAGAATTGTCTAAGCTGGGCTTGAACTTGCAATCTTCCTGTCTCAGTCTCCCAGAGGGCTAGGATTGCAGGCATGAGCTACTGCACCTGGCCAGAGCTTTTCTTTACCTTGAATAGTAGTTAAACCACTGCCCTTATTCTCATTTTTAAAAGTAAACAACAATGATATTGATGGACTCCAGCTTTTATAGTTCTTTTGGATTACTTTGTCCTGCTTTTTAAAAGTCCAGTAATAGTATTCCAGTAACTCAGGAAAAACAGATTAGAGAATTAGAAACCATGGTAACAAAATATTGAAAACTTTTAGCATAACCAAATAAAATCTTATCATGAATAATTATACAAATCACCCAGTATCCTTCAAAATTTACTGAAGTTATTCAATTACAAAAAGGGATATTAAAGAAGAATCAAATATCTTAATATATCAGAGGTTTCATGTGGTATAATAGTACAGTGAGCATATATCTTTTTATGGTCATACTAATCAATTTTAATTGGTACAATTACTACTTTGCTCTTACAGTATTCATTGTTGCTGAATACATAATTTCATCACAGGTTATAATTCATTTTTTGACAATAAGTCAGTTGCAAACCTAGCATTTTCAATACATTTCCTTTTACAGAATTTATAAGTATTATAAAGAATGAAATGTAATCCCTCTACTTCAGTATTTAAAACTTGATAGTCTCGTCTGGGCACGGAGGTCCACTCCTGTAATACCAGCACTCTGGGAGGCTGCAGAAGGTGGATCACAAGTTTCGTTCCTGCCTGGGCAATTTAGCAAGACTCTGTTGAAAGAGAGAGAGATTGAGAAGGAGGAGGAAAGGTGGAAGAGAAGACGAAGGAAGGGCAGTCAAGTGGGACATAGTGATGTATA